CAGCAGCAGCTTCTTACCAAACACCTGGGACTTCATATAGAGCAGCTGGAGTACGTTCCACCCACACACAGGACAGGGAGCTGACAACCAAGGAGTGGAGGATCAATAATACTCCAGCTTTCTCTCCTCTGTTTCCCCAGTATTCAGCAGTAGTGGAGCTTGGTTACCGATGAGAAACCTGCTCACCAACTTTAAACTGCTTTTTCTTACCTTCTCAGTTCCATTTCTCCATACCTCAATTGATGCTTTCTGGTAAGACCTAGCAAATAAACTGTTTTCGCTGAAATTTCAGGCTTGGAATCTGCTTTGGCTTCCCCAGTCTAAGACAGAAATATATTCATTTTCCCATCACTGGAATTCCAGGTTGTTTTAAGTTTTTCACTGCTACAAACAAGGCTGCAACATATGTCTACAAACTCTTAGATATACACGTAGGAAGATTTCGGGTATTTCCCACTAGTGAAACTGCTCAGTTGGAAGGTATGTGCATCTTCATCTTTAATAAATACTATTGACATTTGAAAAGCCCGACAATGTCAAGGACTGGCCAGAGTCCCATGCGATGGGTGTGAATGGCAGCAGCTCATGGCAGCAGGTGCGGGACTCAGTTGGGGGTCTTGGAGAGGCACTTCTTAGTTATAGCAAGAGTGTTTCATAAATGGTATCTGATATATTCAAGACTAGTGCAGAAAAAAAACACATTGCTTAGGAATAATTATTCATAGATCCAAAGTCAACAAAGTCTTTTTTTCTTTCATGTAAAAAAAAAAATATATATTTTTTTTTCCGAGGAGGAAGAATAAACTTAAAATAAACCAGAAAACACCTTCATATTAATCATTCTTCCTCATATACTCTTTCCAAATTTGAACTTACTGCCTTTCTCCTGGCCATCAGAGAAAACACCTGGGTATTCTTGGCAGAAGTTTATATTTCCAAATCACTTCTGGAAAATGTGTCACTTTCAAAGTCCCACAAAGTCCTTGTCACAAATAGTTTAAGATGGCCTGGGTGATTCATGGATTCCCTTATAAAACAGAACTGCCACTAACTATCCAAATCATCTCTACTTTATTTGCTAATTCTGGTTGTTCAGTAAGTTTTAAGATATCATCCAGACTTCTGGTAAGAGAACAATCTCCTTGTGGAGGTTCCTTGAGTTCTCTGCTGAGAATTAAATTAATTCTATCCTTTAAAGATCGATTCTTCTCAGGAATGGAGAACCGGATCTCCTACACGCACACCAGATTCTGCTCTGCCTTCTCCTGAAGAGTTTGTGGCCATTCTCTGGAAATACCTAAATTCATTCCTGAGCGGCGGCCAGGGCAGGTCCTCCTGCTTCAAGTTAATGCCCATGTTCTGGGACACAGCGTACGATGCAGTTTAGTAAACGAACCATGACAGCAGCGGTGAGCACCCGAGCCCGCCGCTACACCAGAACGTGCGGGCCAAGTTTGACTGGAAGGTTTTTACTCTGAACCTGGAGGATGAGCAATGACCTCTCTCTCTCCACCTCAAAACTCCTCCTGAGCAACACCTCCTGGGAGCAGGAGCAGCGCAGCAGCGCCCCCTGGTGGTCCATGCGCTTCCTTTTGCAGGTCACTCACAGTTCCGAGACCCTCCTCTCCTTTCCATGCACCTGGGATTTCTTCACTGGACACCAGCTTGAGTCAAGTTTCTTGTAAAGCAAAAGAAGCGCACAGGGCTTGCTCATGGAGTCCCTGCACAAAGTGGCCGGTGGCTGCGTGATGGACACTGCATGGGCACAGCAATTGAGGCGCCCACTCACCAAGGGCTGACCTGGCAGCTGCCACTGCTGAGGGCCCAGCCAACCAAAAGCAGCTGTTTTATTTTGGACGGAGAAATAAAACAGGAAATGGTAATTAAGAATAAAATAACATTATGATAGATAAATATGCCACTAAAGATATAGTAGCAGTTTAAATAATTTTGAGACTATGAACAAGATTATGTCAATGGGGAGAACTTATTACAAGTAGAGAAAGTTGAGCATTGATCCTCCCTCCTTGGTTGTCAGCCCCTGTCCTGTGTGTGGGTGGAACGTACTCCAGTTTCTATAGCGAAAGATGGTGGGGGAGGAATGGTGTCATTCCACCTTTGGCGACCCATGTCACCGTGTTCAGGGAAGTGGGGCCATGAACTCCCATGCAGAGAGGAGGCTGTGGCTGTGAAGGTGCCTGTGGGAGAGGTGAGGAGCCGCTCCCTCTACACTGATGGCCAAGAGCCTGCAGATGGCGGGAAGGCTTCCTCTCTCAGCTGTGTCCTATCAGATTTTTTCAAGAGTCATGAGGACCTGCATATTGCCTCTGCTGATGTGAGCTGCACGCACATCTAGGAAGTGAGTCAGCTCTGCGGGGGTCCTGGGCTGCTAAGGTTCTGGGTGCTCAGAGGGAAGATGGGGAGGGGCTTTGTGCAGAACAGTAACCATACTCTATAAATTATTTTTCCCTTAACCTTGTGTCATAAATAAAATGTAGGACTCCAGAGAGGGAAAAAGAAACGGTCTAAAATTTGTGTCCTTGAATAAAAAGTGAACACCCACAACCACCAGGATAGACGTTTGTAGGAGCAGACCAGAAGGCCCATCATTTGCCTCAACTCAGCAGTAAACTCTTTCCCTCCCCCCCAAATAAAAATACATCCTGACTTTCACAACATCACTTCTTTGTTCTACTTTATATTTTTATCATCCAAAATTATAATTTAGTTTTACCTCTAGAAATACGCTTTTATTCTCTTTTATTCTATAGATTCTTTCTTGAAATTTATATTGTGTGGTAGAGCTTCCTATAGTGCATTTTGGTTGATTGCCCTGAAGCCATTGTTTGTGTTTTTATTATCTGTATTGCCTCTAAATTGGTAATTGCCATGGAGGTTAGCTTATATTCAGGCTGGTTTCTTTGTCACTTGTACTTGTTTGATGGTGTTGTATTGTGTTCTTCCACTAAGAGAAGAACCTGCTACTAGTTTTTTGTTTTATTGTGCTGTTAATTGCCATTGCTGTTCATGGTTAAACTGCTAACTCATGATGGTTTGCAATAGAGTTATTATAGTCTCGGTCTCTCGGCCTTCCTTATTTACATCCGAATAATTTCTAAGTAAGAGATTCACGCTTTCTTCCTCTACTGTTTCTTTACTACTAGAAATTTGTTAACCAGAGACTTAGCCAAGCATCTACTCACCTATGACCCAGCAATAGCACTCTTAGTTGTCAACCAGTAGAAATGCTTGTATGTGTGTGCCAAAATATAGGAAAATATTATTCATAGCAGCATGACTTTTAAAATCTGGATACAACACAATTGTTCATCAAACAGTGAAGGGACAGGAAATATGAACCACATTTATAAAGTGGAGCATTGGACAGCCATGGAGGAATAAGCTATGACTACACACAGCGAGATGATGAGACCCAGGCATGATGGTGACTGTATAATGCCATTCAACGAGAACTGGCAGAACTCATCTGTGTTAGAAATCAAGAGTGGCTACTCCAGGTGTGGGAGGGTGGTTTATAACTGAGGAGGACCCAAAGGTGTTTCCGGCAGGCTGTGATTGATGTACTTTGATGTGGGTGTTGTTTACCCAAGTGTTCACTTCTGAAACTACACTGCCCACTTGTGGGTTGGGCCCTCCTTCTCCATGCATGCTGGGTCCTTCCTCAAATATACATTGCTGGTGTTTTGAAGCAATTTAAGGTACACTAAGAAGAATCACTCCTACTGCATATCCTTGGAAATGCTGAAATTGAAAAATTAGTGCAATTGTTTTTAATTCCCAAGAAATAAAATACATATAAAGAGGAAAATCTACAATAAAATACAGTAGGCTTGGGAGCTGACAATTGGTAAAGAGCTTTGGAAATGGCTCTCAAGCCAGGAACTAGAATCAAACTCCAAACAAGCCCATGGAGTGTGGGGTGGGAAATGATGCCCAGTAGTGTATGATGAATGAGTCATGGGTGTGGCTCATGCCTTGGCTGGCCAGTCACGAACTTGGGGAAAATAGAGTTGGAAAATTGGGAGGTAGAGGAGAGAGGTACGCATAGACCTCTAAGCAGGGGCCGAGTGCATGACGACAGTGGTTGTGTGTGGATGCCTACCAGAGGGTCTTTAAGGTACTGGGGCTCCCTGTAATCAGGTGAGTGAGATGGCTTGACGGACAATGCCACTCAGCTGCACAGGGCTGTCATGGAGTCCCTGCACAAAGTGGCCGTGGGTGGTTGTGGGATGGACACTGCATGGGCACACACCAGGCTGCCACTCACCAGGACTGGAGCCAGCAGCTGCCACTGCTGAGGGTCCAGCCCACCAAAACAACTGGTTTTTTTTTGGATGGAGAAATAAAACAGGCAATGGTAATTAAGAATAAAATAACATCATGATAGATAAACATGCCACTAAAGATACAGTAAAGGTTTAAATAATTTTGAGACTATAAACAAGATTATGTCAATGGGGAGAACTTATTACAAGTAAAGAAATTAAAACGGCTAAATCCTTATTTCCTTCAGGCATATCCAGACTGTTTTACAGATAAGTTCTATCAAAACTTCGAAGAAGGCTACTGAATTTATACATAATATTCAAGAGAATGAGGAAACATAGAGAAAGCCAATAAACTCATTATTGTTTATGTATAAATAACATTGATTCTAAATCCAGCAAGGGAATACATAAGAGAAAAGCATGATAGGATAATCACTTTGAAGCAATTAGGAGGTAAAATACTGAGAAAACAGTACTAGACTGTGTCCAAATGAGCTTAAGTAACAAATTAAATATCCTGCCCAGGTTATTCATCCCCAGTATACAAGAATATTTAAACTTTAAATCTGTAATGCATTTTACCACTTAATTAAAGAATAAAAGACAGAGATAATCACATTTTGTTAGATGCAGAAATCACTGCAGATGAAACCAACACTCTATCTCACCCACATTTCTTCACTTATCTCCACTTCAAAGAACTTGTGGTCAGCACTCGCTTTGGCAGCACATATGTTAAAATTGGAAAGATAAGAGAAGACATCAGCATGGCTCCCTGCACAAGGGTGACATGCAAATTCATGAAGCATTCCATATTTTTAAACTCTCAGTAAACTAAGTATTGAAGGAACATACCTCAAAATAATAAAAGTCGTGTATGACAAACTCACAACCAGTATCATACTGAATGGGCAAAAGTTGGAAGCATTCCCCTTTAACACCTGCACAAGGCAAGGCTGCCCTCTCTCACCAGTCCTATTCAATAAAGTGTTGGAAGTTCTGGCCAGGGGAATCAGGTAAGAGAAAGAAAGAATATTCAAATAGAAGCGAGGAAGTCAAATTGTCTTTGTTTGCAAATGACATGATCCTACATCTAGAAAACCCCATTGTTTTAGCTGAAAAGTTTCTTAAGCCAATAAGGAACTTCAAAGCTTCAGAATACCAAATCAATGCAGAAGTCACAAGCATTCCTATACAACAACAATAGACAAGCAGAGAGTCAACCATGAATAAACTTCTATTCACAATTGCTACAAGCAGAATAATAAAAGATGCCTTTGGAATACAACTCACAAAGGAATTGAAGGATCTCTTCAAGGAGAACTACAAACTGCTGCTCAAGTAAATCACAGAGAGAGGACACAAACAAATGGAAAATACTTCCATGCTCATGGATAGAAAGAATCAATATTGTGAAAATGGTCATACTGCTCAAAGTAATCCCACCGGGTCCAATGCTATTTTCATTAAACTACCATTGACATTTTTCACAGAATTAGAAGAAACGATTTTAAAATTCATATAGAACCAAAAAGAGCTTTATGGTCAAGACAATCTTAAGCAAAAAGAACAAAGCTGGAGGCATCATGCTACTTGACTTCAAACTATACTACAAGGCTACAGTAACCAAAACAGCATGGTACTGGTACAAAACAGATGATGTGTTTAAGTAAGATAACCATAAACTGGTTGTGCAGCCTGACGTGATTAACTGCCTTTGTGTAAAACTGCTTTTCCGCCTCAAGAGTTGAACTGAAATATCAGAAATGGCAGGAACCAATCATAGTTTGCCAAATCGCTTTGTTTGAACTCCAGCCAATCATACATCTATTCTGTACAATGATTCTATGCCCACTTTCCTTAGACTATATAACGCTGTTCAGGACTCAGGGGGGGAGCTCTCCTGCCCGTTTCGTTTCACGAGCGAGTGAGAGTTCCAGGTTCGAACCTGTAATAAAGATCCTTGCTGCTTAACTTTGACTCTGGACTCTGGTGGTCTTCTTTGGGGAATAAACGGTCTGGGCATTACACATAGACCAATGCAATAGAATAGAGAACTCAGAAATAAGGCCACACATCTACAACTATGTGACTTCAGTGACCACATACAATAAAGAATACAATCTATACAAAAATAGTTTAGAAAATGTAATTTTCACAGTTACCACATCATAATATTGAAAATGTCTAGTTTTCAACTTCAAAAAACATGAGTTATGCATGTATGAAAGTATGACTCATTCACAGGAAAAACAATGCAAAGAAATTGTTCCTGAAGAAGAGTGGACTGACTTACTAGACAAAGACTTTGAATCAACTGTCTTAAACATAGTCAAAGAGCTAAAGGAAACCATGGACAAATAACTAAAG